GTCACTGTGATACAAATTAATAGTTGTGTCTTAGGTTATGAATTTATGTGTCTTTGTGTTGTGAAAATTAATGTGCCTATGAACACAAGTTTTGTACCTAAATAAGATTTGAAAAATAAGTAAATGTATAGCATGCAGTGGCGGACCCAAAAAAAATTTCAATGGGGCAAAACACATTAAAACAAAAGAGATAGTTTGATTAAAAAAAAACACTTAAAAGTATAGTGATAAATATTGTTGGATGTGAGCGAAAAATAAAACACATCAAAATTTTATAAAAAATATGAAACATAATTAATTTGATAAAATAATTCGAATAAAAAATACATTATAAACACATCTCATCTCAAAAAAGTTATATATATGTAAATCTCACAATTAATTAATACGATGTTTAAAAGTCATAGAAAAAAGAAAAAAAAAAAGATTAAATGGTTTGCTGCCAAAGTAATAAGGAATAAACCTGCACAGCAGCTAAAGCACTCGAACCCTGGCATCTCGCAAAGAAAACGCAGCCTTACCACCTGATCTAACCATCTTCTGTTATTTTTTATCTATTTTATTATATTTATACTAAAACCTGTATTGTGTATGTAATGTGTCTTGTGTTGTGATTATTGGGTCCTGATTATTGTGTCTTTGTGTTAGTAAAATTCGTACCTTACGATTATTGTTTCTTCCAGCAGGTTTACATTTCCCTTGCAAGCATCTTCAAAAAAAAAAAAAAAACCTCATTTCCCTTGCAAACATAATGTCAATATAATCTTGTTATCCAAAATTAGAAACGGTACATTGCCTAAAGACTCATCTGACAAGAGAGCATCCAGCTCTTTATTTTCTTTGACTCCGATCCGCATGCAAATCTTTCTTTATTGTAGGCATCCACATCCAGGGGCGGACCCAGCATGGGGGCAGTGGGGTCAGATGCCACCCCCCCCCCCAACCCCCCCACCCTCACTACATATATAACCCTTGTATGTATATGAGTATATATAGTACAGATTTTAGTATAAGTATAATAAAATAGATTAAAATTAGCAAAAGAGGATTAGATCAGGTAGTAAGGCATGCATTTTCTTCGCGAGATGCCAGGGTTCGAATCCTTCAGTTGCTTTGTAGATTTTATTTTTTATCAAACTATCTCTTTTGTTTTAATGTGTTTCGCCCCTCCACTGAAAAAAATTCCTGGGTCCAACACTGTCCACAACTCCACATCCACCTTAGCATGTGAAACTGTAATGGTGCAAGTACTTTAAATTAATTGTGAAACTGTAATGGTGGCACATACTTTACGTTAATTAAAATGGTTATAATGCATTCCCTTTACTTTGATGGAGAAGACAACCATCCACCTGTTGAATCGCAGCCAAATACACACGCAATGCACATAACACAAATACACAATCAACAATGAGCTGAGGCTTGCAATTCTGTTGCCATGGCGGCAATGATGATCAGCACGTTAAGTTAAAGATATTTTTTTGAGATAATAAACAATGCAATTCTCAGAAATTTGAATTTGTTTATGAGAAGTGTCGAGAGTGTGAGCGGGAAGAGATTGTAGAGTAGTACTTAAGTTGGGGTCAAATCCCCACTCATGAACTAACTTTAGAATTGGAGTCAAGATCTTGGCCAAAATATAGTATTACAATGTAACATGGACTAATTTTGAAAAGGTTAGACAAATCTGAGATCAATTTCATCCCTATTCTAGATACATTGTAAAAGCTTTAAACAAATGTACTATAAACATAAGCAAACAATATAAGAAATAATAAACAAATGTACTATTACCACATAAATACATACAAGTGTTACACAAATAATAATATAAGAAATATTAACTATACTAACACTATAAACATAAGCAAATGTTCTGTAAAAATTTAGGCGTTTATTGTAATTTGATTTTCTAAATGCCTAATTTTTTTTCAAATGATGTCTCGTGGGTCTGTGCTGTGTAACTTAGAGAGTCGTGTTGGATCGAGTATATTAGGAGATACAAGGCAGGTGGCTCTTTGTCGCAAGACGAGGATGAGGCCAAGTTAACAAAGCTATGGGCACCTAACTATGTCATCTTGGACAATAATAAGCTGTACAAGTGTTCCTACAATGGTACACTGTTGAAATGTGTGTATCCGGATGAAGCTGAGCTGATGATGAAAGAAGTTCATGAGTGGGTGTGCTCCGCGCAATAGGGGGCGTACACTATCGCATGACACATGCATCATGTTGCAGGGGTTCTTTTGGCCCAAAATGTAGAAGGATTGCACAGAATATGCGAGGTGGTGCCCTAAGTGCCAAGAATTCCAAACGTTACTGGGTCGGCCTGCAACCAACTACACCTGAGTACTGCAATTCTTTTTTCAAAGCGTTAGGGATTAACAAGACCTTAGATATACTCCAAATCTTGAAAATCTAATTGAGGCCATATGGATGAGATAAGAGAACGGTCAAAAGGGGAGTGTGAGGCCCCGCGCCTCTTCCTTTTTGGACGAGTTCTAGGCACTGAAGAATTAGAAGATGAGGGATCGAGAGTATAAGGTATTTGAGGAAATTATCATAGAAGGAAGAATGATCGTCATCAAGAACGTATTCCTCATCATCGGAAGAGAGGTCATTGTCATCAATTGAGTACATGACATCCATTAAAAATAAAAAAACTAACATAGTCAACAAGAAAGCCAAAATACTCAAATACAGACTGTCTTGTCAAAAAAAATTATTATTATTACAAAAAAAAAAATTGTCATACTGGTCATGGTCGAGGCCCCGACTTGGCTAAACTGGCCAAGACCTGCCTCAGCCGAGCAGGCCAAACTGGCCTCTTTAGCCACTGGACGAGGCGACCAAATTTGCCAGGACCTGCCTCGGCCGATGACGCATCCATGTCTAAAAAAATTAATTAAATAAATAATTAAAAAATGAAGAAGACAAAAAACTTACTAGACACAGGTGACAGAGAAAACTGGTAGAGGATTGGTAGAATTACTGTGTGCGTGTGTTGAAGGTTTGTATTGAGGGAAGGCATAAACAACAAAAGAAAGGAAATATTTGGAAATAAAAAGAAGGATGTGATTTTTTATTTTATTTTTTTAAAAGAAGGATGTGAGATATTTGGAAAATAATAATATATATTTTAGATTCCAAAAGTATTAAATTCCAAAGTTACTTAGCAATCTTTCATAAGGATTTTTTGATACAGTTTTACTCCCAAATCAGTTCAAACACATTTGCAAACTCGAGAGTAGGGGTTGGTGACAAAGTAATGGGACAAGCACCCGACCCGGGACTGGTTTAGGACTTTACTAACAATCGGTTAACAAAAAAGTTATTAAAAATCAGATGTTACCTAAAGTTCTAAACCAATATAACCAGTTGAAATCGGAAAAATAACAAAAGAAAAAATATAAAAAGACAAAAATACCCTTACTAAAAATAGAAAAAGTCATGAAAATGACTAAAAGTGTCCAAAATACAATAGTTTGGGATGTTAAAAACGATAGTCTGGGACTAAATTTAAAATTGCCACCAAAGACAAGGGACCTCTAGTGGAATTAACTCCTTTATAAAACTAGGCATTAGTCCCTAAAGATACTGAGTCATAGTCTTGTTTTCTTAATTAGAGATGGAGCAAGTTGAGCACGGTTCATCACTTCATTGCATTGTCTTGCTAGTTTAATAACGGTGCCGTTAGTGTCATCGTTTTCTCAACTAATTATATATCTTTTTGTGAATATAATATAGCTAGATTCAAAAATTGTGTTATATGGTTGAATATAGAATTCTGTAATTATGAATACAGAGTTCTTTAATTGTGAATATTAGTTATGAAATTGTGAATATAGAGTTCTGTAATTGTGAATATAGAGTTCAAAAATTGTGAATATATAGTTTGCAATTGTGAATATTGAGTTATGCAATTTTGTGTATTGAGATCTAAAATTGTGAATATAGAGTTCAAAAATTATGAATATAGAGGAACAAATTCTGAAAACAAATAACAAGTTAATTAATGGTATGGAAAGAAGCAACTTTTTTTTTTTTAATTTTTAGACAGCGTTGTTATGATGATGCAAAACGGTGCCGTTTTGGATCTTGATCCACCTTGCAAGGTAGACTTCAAAACGATGTCGTTTTAGACCTGGATCCAGCTTGCAAAGTGGACCCGGGTCCATGGTGTACCAATTGGTTAAATTACTAATAGGGCTTTAGAATTATAAGTTGAAAAAAATCTCTCCCGCCTTCAAAAAAAAATAATAATAATCTCTCCAATTAGCTCAGCAATTTGATATTTTGTTAATAAAGATAATTTAGTAATGTAATTAATTATTTTGTATGATAAGGAAAATAATTTCTATTATTAATAATTGTATTTACGGAGTATTTGCCTTTTCCCTCCTCTCTCTCTATCCTATAAGAATGGAAAAAAATCCAAATGAATCTTTATTTGCTTTGTTCTCATGCTTGCCTAATAAAGTAATAATATATATATATATATATATATATATATATATATATATATATATATATACCTAATGCTGATACTTTTTTGAAATTATAATTCCAACATAAATACCTAATAATTGCCTTAAAGGAATTGAATAAGATTAGATAAAGTAATATATTTTTGAACATTTTTAATATGATGTAATTCAAAAATATTACGAGGTGGTTTTCATTTCAATTTGTTAAATTATTTAAATATTAGAAAATCCTCCAAGTAATTAATATAATTAACTTCAAATTATTTTTTATTTTTATTTTTTCATGATATTTATAAAATATTGGGTAAATAAATATATAACATTATTTGTATTATAATTTTGATATAATGGACAATGTATTGAATGACAAAAGACATAGCAACTCCATTCACTCTCTTTGCCAAGAATGGAAAAAAAAATCCAAAAGAATCCTAGCCTGATAGACTTGTTCTCATGGTGGCCTATAATAAATATTTACTTCATTGAGTCTTGACCACTTCCTCAAAGGCCGCCATGTACGCTCTCCATTTAGCCTCTTCCCCCAATCTCGGTTGCAAGGCCCCGTCGCTGGGCGCTGGCAATAATCACACCACCATGAAGGCCGGCGGCGATGTACATGTAAGAAGAGTGAGTAGCGGAACTTTAGTTCGCGCTGCGCTCTCTAAGCCGGAGAAGCAGTTGCCGGTAGTGTCTCCGGGGTCGTTGACTAGTGAGGCTGGACGCCTTATTCCCAATCTGGCTTGCCGCCATGGAAATGAGTCCTATAACTACAGAGCCATGGAGTATTTAACCGCCATATTGTCGTCCAATAAAGTGTACGATGTAGCAATTGAGACGCCGTTGCAGCTCTCCTCCATGCTCACCGCCAGGCTGGGGAACAATATCTGGCTCAAGAGGGAAGATCTTCAACCTGTATGCCCCTTAGCTTCATTTTCCTTTCCCTTGCCTTTAGTTTATTATTAATGGGTTTTAATTTGCTGACTTGGTTGATTGGGTGCGGGCAGGTCTTCGCGTTCAAACTTCGAGGAGCTTATAATATGATGTCTAAACTCCCAAGGGAGGCATTGGATAAAGGAGTTATTTGTTCCTCTTCCGGTAACCATGCGATTGGCGTTGCATTATCAGCACAAAAACTTGGGTGTAATGCAGTAGTAGTAATGCCTGTTACTACACCTGATATCAAGGTTAGTCCATCTCATCTGTATGGTTACTATACATTGGATCAATATAATATAATTGTGTAATTGATTTGCAGTGGAGATCAGTTGAGAGGTTTGGGGCAACTGTTGCTCTTGTGGGGGATTTATACGATGAAGCCCAAGCATATGCAAAAAGGAGGGGTGAAGAAGAAGGGCGCACGTTTATCCCTGGTTTTGATCACCCTGATGTGATTGCTGGGCAGGGTACCATAGGAAAAGAAATTTTTAACCAATCTAACTTTCCAATCCATGCCATATTTGTTCCTATTGGCGGAGGTGGACTTATTGCAGGTGTTGCTGCCTATATTAAAATGGTTAACCCCCAAGTAAAGATAATCGGGGTTGAGCCCAGTGATGCAAATGCTTTAGCATTGTCGTTGCATCATGGGAAGAGAGTAATGCTGGAGCAAGTAGGAGGTTTTGCAGAAGGTGTGGCTGTTAAAGCGGTAGGCGAAGAAACCTTCCGTATATGTAAAGAATATGTAGATGGAGTGGTTTTTGTTGGGCGTAATGCTATGTGTGCATCAATACAGGTTAGTCATCCCATCCCTATCCCTTTTAAATTGGCTTCCAAATTCATAAAGCTACCTAATTGATTAGATTCAATTGGTTTGTCTCATGTGGATTATAGTTGATCTTGATCTAATCTTATTGAATAGTACGTTTTTATAAGTACTCAAATTTAAAAGTTACACTGCTCACTTGTATGTAGGATATGTTTGAAGAGAAAAGGAGCATTTTAGAGCCGGCAGGTGCTCTTTCCCTTGCGGGAGCTGAAGCATACTCCAAGTATTACAACCTCAAGGACCAAAACATAGTAGCAATAACCTCAGGAGCAAACATAAATTTTGATAAACTGAGATTGGTAGCAGATGTTGGTAGAGAACTTGAAGTGTAAGAGACATGGAATTTGGTGGCTACTTCTATTATGAAAAAGTTGAATTAGCTTTAAATGTCTTTTTTTTTTTTTAAACACAAAATGTTATTAGTGTTTCCCACAGCAAATTATGCCGTGCAACCATGTGCACCATACATGGCACACACGGTTGCAAAAACGACGTCGTTTTACTTTTAAAAAAAATAATAATTTTCGATTGCCGTTAGTTACATAAACATATGTTCATAATTTTATAATTTCACATTCTGAATGTATAGTTATAAAGTTATGGATGTGTAGCTATGCAATTCTGAATGTATAGTTATGAAGTTATGGATGTGTAGTTATGCAATTCTGAATTTATAGTTATGAAGTTACAGATGTATAGTTCAAATTATGCACAACATAACACCGTTAATGACAATCGAAACTATTTTTTTTTTTTTTTAAGTTGGATGTCAAAACGACTGTTCCCTGTTCCCTAAATATTATGAAGACTGCCACAGTGCCAGTGGTAGAAAACTGAAAAAAGTTGGTGTTTCACACTTACACTATCAGAATACTTTAGGTTGTGGACTACCATCAGCAAGCTATACTCGCTCTAGTAATAGTGCTTGAGGTTTAGCTTTTTAGTTCAGCATCAATAGCTAGGATTAGGTTTAGTGGCAAGGATGCTAGCATTTTTTTTTTTTTAATTATTCATAGTTTCTTGCTATAACTTATTATGTCTTGTAATTCCACATAAGATTTGCTGCATACCCCAACTTGCTCATGTATTTTTACTACAAAGTCTGTCAATAATGTGCTCATCTATTATCTTACTCTTAAAAGAATGGCAATTTATGCAGCTGCTAACATGAAGTAGTTATACTATCTCTCACATTATATATCCACATGCCAATGGTTCTTGTTTATTTGGTATTTAATTACATATTTATTCAAGTAGCTAGTAATCATACGATATCATAAAATTGAAATGAGTACAAACCAACAGCACATAATCCGTGGAATGTCAGAGTGACATTCAGGATAGTCAAAAGTAAATGTTACATTAATAAGATCACTATATTTATTTGAGTAAATGCTCAAAATAGTCCCTCGACTATAGCTAAATTCACAAATTGGTCATCGACTTTCAATTTCAACCAATTAAGTCCTTAACTTTGTAATTTTAACACAATTTGGTCCTCTGTCTATTTGACCGTTTGTTGACTGTAATTTTTGAAGATATATATGTAATTTCATGGTCCATCGTTGGTTTTTTAAGGTTCTGGTTGCATTTCCAGACCGCACTATTACATTTGAAAACACTTCCGAAAGCAATCTACCAAATCCGGTCGCATTTCTTCATCCTCCCTTTGGATTCAATGTAGTTGAGTTCGTACCAGAGCGAAGAAGACGACGTGTTTCCGAACCAATGCAACGTCATCCTGGAGGCCTCCACGTGCTCCGACGAGAGCTGAAGGTTCTTCTGGAGATCGTCGATCACGGTCAACAAACGGTCAAATAGATGGAGGACAAAATCATGTCAAAATTACAAAGTTAAGGACTTAATTGGTTGAAATTGAAAGTTGAGGACCAATTTGTGAATTTAACTATAGTCGAGGGACCATTTTGGGTATTTACTCTATTTATTTATTTATTTCTAATGAGAAAAATGCGAAATTATTATCAGACTTTATTTAATTGGTAATATAATTGCTGGCATTTTGATGGGGCCTCAATTGATTTTCCTGCAATTCTTTCTAATTTGACCATTTGAGCCCGTGAGAGGGCTGAGAGTACTCATTTTTACCATAGCATTTGCAAAATCTGAAGCAAAGGTCGAAGGGTTTGAACTATAAGTGTTGACTAAAAAATCTGTAAAACCTCCATTGAAGAGCTCCTGGTCTGAATGCAAAAGTCCTTTTTGACTCATCAAATTATTAAAGTAAACATTGTCAAACGAGGTTGAACTACTATCAAGTGGAGCAAGATTGTTGTCGCCCCCACTTGGAGGACAAATTGCTTGCAATGATCTAGCAAATGGCGCATTTATATTGATGTCATTATAAATTCGATTTCGGAAGTATGTACACCTAGCTTTTCCAATTGTATGAGCTCCTGCATGCACAAAATTAAGTGAGAAACATTTAACAATTAGGAATTAAATGACAAAAATAATATTTAGGATTAATAACCAATAAATATGAAATACAGTAGTGTTTAAAGCCTTTGTTTGAGAGGACCATCTACCTGCGAGAGCAACCATTTCCTTAACACTAAAGCCTTTGTTTGAGAAAGCAGAAATGAGTTGACTGAGATTGGAAGCTGGCCCAGGAATATCCCTGTTAGCATCACTCGAACTTGCAGTTGTTGAGTCCCTTCTGCCTAACAAAACTTTCCAACTAGGACCATCTAACTGTAATTTTGTGACACATCCTTTAATGAGTTAGTAATTTTGTGACAGGTTCAACTGATCGAAAAAGTGTTGGTAAGAATAAACGAGTGATCATCTAGGTATGAAAATCATGCTCTACTAACTCAGTCATTACTTTTGGTTCATCCGGATTCCGGAACTAATTTGAGTAGTTCTGGATTAATTAGTTGTGACTCCTAACATGACTTATACTTACAGTGTGTTATGTGTTAGACTTTAATTTGGTAAGAATTCTCCACTATGTTATGGACTACTTTGATTTATAAAATGTAATTCAAAATTAGTATGATTTGCAAAAATGGAAAGGAGATGTAAATAAATTAAATGGAATATGAGAATCTTCATTACCATAACAACCGAGTCTCGAGCAACAACACTTAGAATATCTGCACAAGATACAACATCAGGACAAGAATTCTCAAGTTGAGCTTTAATGTTATCAATCACGTCGAACCCTCTAGCTGATCCTCTAATCGGCTCCGCAGACTTCTCCCCTGTAAAGTTTACAGTGTCATCCAGCAAAATTGATCCATCACAACCCTATTTCAATTTTATTTATTTTTTTTGGAAGAAACAAAAACAAAAACAAAAAATATTGTCAATATTAGATACATCACTTCAATAAATTACTTTATTTTACTAAAGGGTATTTTTACTAAAGCTAGCAGTCTTTCAAGAAGTATGGATGGAGGACTTGCATTGATGAAGCAATCAAAGAAATGGAGACGAAGCAAGGATGCACCCATACGAAGCTCTGCCTGCACGGCGGAATGAACACCTAATTTGATTATGGAAAGGGCTTCAGGACATGACGTTTCGTTAAATTTTCAGACAATTGAGCGGAACTTATCCCCAATATAAAGAAGAGTAGAAACGAGAGTATTAATGCATCAATATGCATTGAAGAAAGAATTGGATTCGCCATGAAGAAAGAGAGAGTCAGAGTGTCTCAAATTTCAATAGCAGAAAGAATGAGATGGCCTGGCTTGTGGTCTAGTTCTACCTCTCTTCATCTATTTATAGCTGAGATAGGAAAGTGAGATTAAGAAACGTGATGAAAACTAGTAATCTAACCATCCTTATATCACGGACCATGGTAAAAAATAATGTCGTTTCATAACCTACATATATGGTACTTTTTTTTTTTTTTTGTGCAATAAAAAACAACGTTGATACTACTGGTAATAATTTGTTAACTACATATATGTCAATTGTAGGTACATAATATATTAATTACATATTTATAAAATTAATATTAAGTCCATAATAAAAACTTGTTAATTTTCAAGTAAATATCCCTTAAAACTATATCATAATCATAACATATCAAATACTCAATTTATGAACCTTTAGTTTTTTGTTTATTTACCTACAGTTTTGTAACTTACATATATAAACAGTGTATTTAGTAACGTCATTTTTACCAGACAATAAAAAACAACATTAGTACTACAGGTACATAATCTTATAACTGTAAGTACATAATATGTTAACTTCATGCCATTTGCATAACATGTTAACTACATATTTATAAAATCAATACTTTATGTCCATAATAAAAAACTTGTTAATTTTCAACCAAATATCTTTTAGAACTATATCATAATTATGATTGAATGTCAAACACTCAATTTATAAATATTTAGCATTAAGTTTATTTACCTACGGTTCACATATTATGAACTTAAAACAATATTAGAATTACTTAACATGATACATTTATAGTCTACAAATTATGTGTGTGTGTGTATGCGCGTGCGCGTGTGTAGTTAACAAATTATGTACCTATAGTTAACATATTATGTATCTACTACAAAGGTGAATGTTGACCAAACGAAAAATAAATAAATAAATAAAAGGGGATGGTGCTAATTTAAACAAAATGATGTTATTTTGAACTAAGATTTATAATGTATAGTGAATTCTGATTCACGATATAATTTGTCGTACTTTAAGAGGGACTAGTATGGCGGGCCTAGAAAATGCTAGTCCATCGCTAATTCGTCGCGCCAAGAGCGGTGGATCATGTCAAGTCGACTCATTGATTTTTTTTTTTTTTAATTTTTAATTTAATTAAAATTTACTCAAAAAGTTAGGTATCTTTCCTAGTTCTCAACTCTGATCTTCTAGTGTTTCACAGCAAAAATCATGGTTGCCTTTGGTCTCGGGCTCTCAGCTAGCTTTTCGATCTAGTTTTTAATTAGCTCTCGATATTGTCCTTTATAACTTTATTGGTATCACATAACTCAATTAATTTTCTCATAACTTAACTGGACCAATTGACTTTAAAGACAAATAAATTTTCTCGATCAATTGATTTAAAACAACTTATTCACTTGTCTAACCAATAATTTTAATCTAAACTTAGCGAAAATTTAAAATGATATTTACAAATCCTAAATGCCATAAATAATACTATTCAAGTTTTTTGTAGCATGCCAAAAACTTCAAGCATACTTTTTATTACATAAATTTCTAACACTGTCTCAACAATAAAAATCAGGTGCGCGCTGCATTATAACTAATTAACTGTTAGGTCACATAACTTTTAATTAAACTGGTTAATTAAACGACCAATCATATTACACAAAATTTTTACCCTTAAA